CTCGTTACTACATGACTGTTCCTTGGTCAGAAGGCCCGAGGGCAGTTTCAGTCACTGAAATACCAGATCTGGTTTTTGTGCTGCTTGCTCTCCTAGCCATACTGGTGGTGTTACAATCTAGACCTGTTGTGGCCTTATATCCAGGAATTCGTTCTTGTAGGGCAGTCCAGTTACTTGTGAAGAAAGGAATACTTAGCTGTATTACTTTATACACAGTTTAGGAAAAAAAACCAAACAATCCACCCACCCCTAAAACCAAACACCAACTTCTTTTGCTTCTAAACTTACCTCATCAATATGTCCAACAGCTCCAAAGATCTTTGCTATTTGCCCAATCAAACTTGGAAAACTCTCACCAATTTCTTTCAGTGTCAGAAGAGAAGCAGCTAAGGCTGCTGGTTCATAGCTGGATATTTCTATAAGTATGTTTAGAATAATGTCACTATGGTTAGGGTCTCTCAAGTGTCCAAGTAGAAACGGGATACAATCTTTCAGCACCTATTTAAAAAAATATCAGAGAGAAACAAACTTTAAATATATTTTAAATTGTGAACACATATAACCAAAAGAGGTACTGTACACCAGAGTGACAAAAATAAAACACTGGACTTTGATTTAGTAGAATAGTTTTCCACCCTTGCTGACCTTTGCACGAGCTATTGTTGAGGTCAAATGAAGTTCAGCTCAACATATGGAATAAGGGTAAGCTGCAGCCTTGAAATATTGCAGTTATGCATGTATAAGTAAGGAAATGCCCAACTGTTAAAAAAGACAAAAAAAGCCCTCATCAAATATTTCCCTTGCTCTGGGCCAGTCCCCTACTTTATTGATTAAAGCAACATAAGACTTATCCTTCCCCAATGATACAGTGAATTAAAATACTAGTAGAAATTTTTGGTTTCTACCGGAAACTAAATAACGTGACAAGGTTAATAGATGGAACAGAATAAAAAATAAGAGGCAAGATCCTCACTGAAAAAAAAAATGCTGTAGGTAAGTTGCAATTTCTTACAACACCACAATTTTCAAGAGGTCGAGGGTGTAGTTCTTAAAATCATCTTACAAACAGGATGCAGTGTATACATCTATCTGCTGAATGATTATTTTTCATATAAACACACATGTACACTAACATACCTCTGATTCAGCAAAATGGTTGCATCAGCGTGAAAGGCTGGACAACAGATGGAGCATAAAGTGACCCGTCCTTCTGTTATTTTTTTGAGGATTATCATGTCCCACATGGTTTATTAGGTTTAGTAGGCATGGTGGTGATGGGTTGAAGGTTGGACTTTGTGATCTTAGAGGTCTTTTCCAACCTTAATGATTCTATGGTTTTAGCAAGCTGATACCTATTGCTCTGGCAAAATACTGCAGGAGGGTGGCTGAATAAATTCCAGTAGTAATAAATACTCATAATAATGATAATACAAAACAACTTCAGTCATGGCAGCTCCAGGGTGGAGCTCCACAGTAGCCAGCGGTGCACCCCAGCCCCCTCCGGCTGACAAGTCGCTTGCTTCCGAAAGGAGCTCTGTTTCATCTGGGACTGGGTATTGCAATAACGCTTCCTTGGCTACCTGGGGGAAGATACTTAACTACTGTTTATTCTTCCTTTCCGAAGATTTTATGAATTTCATAAATTCACAAAGCAGGTAGTTTTGTGTCTTGTTCTAATGAGCTAGGTGCCGTCAATGACATGCAGTTTCCAAAACATGATATATTTTGCCTTAGATAATTAATCTCCAGTTCACTTTAATCAATTCCTAACTCATTTTAACTTTCCTTGAGATATAATTTAATACAGTTCATATATTCTAACAGAAACTTTGTTATGGGAATACATACTCAGCTGACAGAGGAAGAGCCAAAAAGGTTGAAAACTGTTCTAGTTTAACACAAACTTTTTGGTCCAGCAGAGTCATTGTTATGTTCTTTTTATGATTAGATAAAGAATTTGGAATGGAATTAAAGAATTCATGAGGAATTAGCGTAGGAAAGTACTGTCATGCATGTTACAGGACTCCTCACTGTTTGGAGAGCAGCTAGCAGACAGACCTTGCCAAGTCATCTGAAACAAATAAACTCCTCCAAAAGGAGGTGTAGCACTTAGCAGTAAGACCTTCCAAACACGGTTTTACCCCCAGTTCTTTTTTCCGAGCCACGATCTGGAGGAGCCTGAAGAGGTGGTGCTGTTCGGCTTGACCCAGCTGAGCCATCGGTGCCACCAGCTCCCTCAGATGGAGGTTTATCGGCTGCGGTTGCTTCTCGTACAGCGCAGGCAGGACACGCAGCAGCATCCAGTTCCCTGAGAACAGAGCAAGTGAGAGGCCACGGCCTTACCGTATGTACATACCTTACAGCAAGAGAGTGCCATAGAAAATCAGCACAAACCTGGAGGCACCAGTTTTTAAGAGTCATCAGCACAAAACCAGGGAGGCATATACCGGACCAAGACAACAAATAAATAAAATAAATAGAATGAATCATTTCAGGCATAACAATGTAGGTGTAAAAAAAAGAGAAAATCAAATTAATTACAATTTTCATTTGCAAGTACAATATCATGAGAAGGCTGCTTAATGAGCTTTCAGATTTGGATGATACTCTGTTGAGTCCTACACCAAACTAAGTGCCATTTAAATTAACAACAACAACAACAAAAAGGCAGCTAGAAAGCACACAAAAGCTATATTTCCCCTTTGTTGAAATTCAGACTTTCAAATTAAATAAGCAGCATATGGAAAGTATAGTTGGTTATTAAGAGAACTAAACATGCATGACAGTAAATTGGAACATAAATAGTTAAGAATGCCATTTCCAGGAATAGAAAGGAGCCAGAAAGAGTCAACTGCAGACAGACAAAGATATGTAAAACCCTCTGTCACACATTTTCTTAAGATGTCTGTGCATAATTCAGTTTGAAGTCCAGGCTCATACCAAAATATATAACTTCACATTGCTCTACATGCCTGCCTCAATACATTGAAGTTTCAGTTGAACAACATATGGAACACATCTGCCTATTGCAATGTAGTATAGCTCCTTTTTGTAAACCCTTGAAAGTCCTTAAGGTCTCTCTGGATTTGGTTTCCAATAGGAACTAGCTCTCTGGCCTGCTGCTTTTTCTCCCATTTAAATCTGAGCTTTACAGTTTTGGAAGATAAGCAGGTCACTTCATGGATGGTAGACAAAGGATATATGGGTCAGACCGGACCACATCCTGCTCTTGCCAGATACAGAAAACGCACCCCAAGACACCGTTAGGTCTTTCAGCATCACATCCGAGCCAAGTAACTAACACATAATTCATTGCAGGTTCAGACAACTTTGAGTCGAACGGCTTGTAACGATCCCGACGGGGTCCTTATACTCGGGAGGGGGCCTCTGCGCTGTTCAGCCAGCCACACTTCGGCATCCTATCCCGCAGCATTCATCCTGCTGGAAGAGCTGCTGGCTTCTCCTTGAAGGCAGCGCTGAGCCTTTCGTGCAGCCGCTGCCGTGCTAAAGGCAAGGGTCAGATCCCACCTCTAGTCCCACGGACACAGCCAATTCCTGTCTTGTTCTGATCTACGAATAACGCACAAAGGCCAGTTGCAAAGGAAAGATATTTGCTGACGAATTACTCTAAACATCTAAACAGATTAGCAAGCTGTGGAGTTCTGGCCATTTTCTAGCCACATTCTTTGTGCAAATCTCTTCCTGATGTTACAAGTGAGTCTGTAAAAATGTGTCACTTTTTATTTTATGAATGTCACTAACGTACCGTGGGATTCGTGCAAAGCGCCAGTTCACCCAAAGTTAGAACTAAAATGGCAAAAGGATGTATTTACTTAAACTTTTCTAGACTGAGCTTGAAATTGAACAATTTTGTAACTAAATGCACTAACGATTATTTTCTTCTCCAGACAATTTAGCGCTTACAGAAATGAGTCCTGTCTTTGCACTTCCACACGCTTAGTTTCCACTGGAGGTTTTCTGCCCATATGGAACAGAGCTCTTAAGCTCCAGCTGAATTTCAGCAATGGTAACAATTGCAAAAGATGAAATTCCCATGTTCCTGCATGGGCAAAATTAATCTCAGCTGTAAAAGTGTAGAGGGTAGGAATACAGCAGAGACGAACCAAAACTAGCAGCTTTAAACGAGGAAAGACGGCCGCTAACCTGAGCCATGCTACTGCCTAAGCCAGGGCGTCACAGGTCGGAAGGTCTCTGGAAAGCAGGGCTAATCATTCAGTCTGAGAAAACGAGGCTTTGAGGCATCGGCTGCGTTAGAGGAGCGATGCCATCTGACATGACACAACGTGATGGATGGCAGCCACGAGACTGCTCTGAACAAACACACCTCGTGCAAACGCAAATTTGGGCAGCTTCCTCCGGTTATCATACAGCAAGCATTACTGGGTTTACATTCACTAGCCAAAATAAATGAAAAGCAAAGGCAAATTAGAGAAACACCATCACTTTGGAGTGATATTTAAATGACCTGACACAGAATTACTTTTAATTGAATAACCTGGGTATACAAACTCGGAAACAATCCAAGCAGACATCACAGTTTGTGTCTGTTCTTCATACAACTTAAGAAAGGTCATGAAGCACAGCCCAATTCACTATTTTCTTGTATTTTCATGTTTGAGTTCACTCTGAGTACCTCTTGCCGTTTGTTTGTCACACCTTTCCAGTTTCTAAGGGATTTACCCACACGCAGCTCACCAGTCTTTTGATTCTCAGAGCTCGGGCTGTCAGAGGCAATACTGAGCCCCTTACCAAGTAATTCACTTTTTTCCATCTTGCTTCATTGGTCTCAGCCTAAACTGAGCCTGAAAAGTATGTTTGTTGTCCGAGAACGGAAAAGCATTACGCTCAACTCCTTAATCACCTTCTTTCCCTCTTCCTTCCCCTACCACCCTTACCCCCGACATTTTCGAGATTCGATTTTCTCAGACTTTCCACGCAGACCACACACTGGGAATTCTGCAATTCAGGCAGACGCTAACATGCAGCTGGGGATGCTCGATGACTTCGCACGGCTGGCTGCAAGGGAGGAGGCAGGTCCGGTGGGACCAACCACCACCGCACGCTGGGATGGTGCCAGCCCGCCCAGCTGCCCCAGGACCCTGCCCCGGGTGTGTTTGGGCCATGCTCCTTGCACACAGCGACGAGCAAAGGCTGCCTCGTGCTCAGTCACTGCTCTGCCCGACCCAGCGGCACAGAGCCCTTGTGAAATACATGAGCCTGGTAGCACACCGCACACTGAACACGAGCAGGAGGAGCTCTCTAAGCTACACAGCCATGTTTTACATTCACTCCAGATTGAGTATTCGGAGGTAAAAGCCCGTGCACCAAGACTAATTTTTTTTCCCCAGGATGACTTAACTTAGGCACATACCTCCACAAAAACGCTCACCTCTACCAAATTTTCGAGGTTTCTAATGTGTTGCTTCAACGTTACCACTTGTTATTTGCGTTTGCAGGAGAGCAGCTGGCATGCGGAACCTCGTATAGGCATAGGGTGACACAGTGAGACAGCTTGGCACGGAGGCACAGCACAGTGCCGTGGCCAGCAGCCCAGCACACAGGTAGCCCAGGTTTGCACCAGTGAGGGAGGCGTGTGGAGCAGCAGCCGGCGGCCCTGGGGTGCAGTGGAACAAGGCTGGAGGAGCAGGCAGAAGGGTTTTTTTGACTATTCTCTGAATACTTCACAGCCAATATATAATTTGTACCATATTACCCCTAACCTCACCTAAGCAAAGCACGTCTGAAATAATTAATGGCCCATTGAACTGATGAGCTTTCCAGAATTTAAAACAGATTAACACCTAATACCAATAATACTTAGCACCAGATTAATGTCTAATCCAAAAGTGCTTTGTTTTGGTTTTTTTCACAGTTAACAGAAACAACTCTAATCATGCAGCTGCTAATCTACATGCTCCCAGAGCAAGGTACTAGCGGTAACATATTAGCCATGTCGTTGTGATGTTGTTATTGGTAATTAGGGCTAGAAAAACAAAAGTCTAACAAGCTGTCTTTATGAGTTCTACTTTATCGCTTAAAGCAATAAACTGCTAATATGTAATAGAAGTTTTTATACATAGCTATCAAAAAAGCTACAATATTTAGGTTAAACCATACACATGTATCCAAACCAACTAAGGTATGTTTACTTTTCTGCCAATCTCTTCCAGAGCCCTGGCACGCACCAACTGCAAAACGAGTTTGCAGAGAACCCTGTTGTTTCCACAAATAACTCAAAACAGGGTAACCGATGCAGCCGGCGCTCGCAGGCAGCGAATTCCAAGTGATTTCATCCCCCGCTCTCACCCTGGCATCGCCGCGCGTTGCTGCAATCTGTTCTCGGAGGGGCAGCTTTCCCCGGTTCTTCCCCTCCGCGAGTCAGTGCATGTCCCCCCAGCGCAGACCTGGAAGGCTGGGATTGAGCAAGCTGCACGCCCCTTCTCTGCTCGGCCAAAACCAACAGTCAGAAGCGCTCCGGTTACAACACCGCCGCTCGCATTGCTCATTCATTCACGCTGAGGCGCTCGGAGCATTTATTAGGGGCTCCCCCTTCCCCCCCCGCAGGCTCGTCTCTGCTGAAGCCCGACTTCGACGTGAGCTCCAGGCAGCCCGGCTATTTTCAGGAAGTGGCTAGAGAATGCTGCCCCAAGAAATACTTTCTCTGCTTACGCTGTTCTGTGTTTTCAGGGCTTCTGGTTCTGTTCTGGATGAAGATGGTGACTATGATCTCATGTACGTGAATTTGGACAATGAAATCGAAGGTCCAGTTCTGGGTACTGAGGAAAGTAAGTAAATTTAAACTTAATTTCTCTTAGGTGCAGAATTGCATTCTTTGTTGCTTAGCTATTGTACCAGTTATTACCACAAACATAATTTCTTTTTTTTTCCAGAGAAAGACGCATGTGCTTGTATTAGTAGATTATTATGGACAGCAAATGCTAAAGCACTCGGATGGTGTGCCTTGAAATTGCTTTATATTCTTTATTTTTCAGTTTTCCTGCAAAAGACTGCCGGTGCCACTTAGTTTTAAAATTGCTATAATACACAGTACTTTTCTGTTTTGATATAAAGGGAAACACACTGACAGTCTGGAACACATAAGCCTTGCGCAGAGCCAGAATTTGTCAAACACTCCTCCTGTTTAAAAAAGTAAGTACAAAGGAGCAGCAACATCTGTATCTTCCATTCCAGCTGTTTCGTGCGACTGTCAGCGAGAACACACCAAGTGGGACAAGCTCTTCATCATGCTGGAGAACTCGCAGATGAAAGAGAACATGATGCTGCAGGCGGTGGACGAGATCCTGAAGGTGGACCTGCAGACCCTGAAAGTGGAGCTGAGCCAGCTTGCTGCCAACCTCGCGGGCACCTTCACCACTGCTGTTGAGAAAGTCACCTCCCACGCCACATCACAGGTAGAGCAGGCACTTGCGAGGAACAGTGGCCAAGCTGAAGAAGCCCAGAGGCTTCACGAGTCCGAGCGAGGAAAGGTTCTCGAGCACATTCTGCTGCTGGGCCACAATGTGTCCATCGGGCTCGACCGGCTGGAGAGTGCGTGGCTGAGGAGGTCTGAGGCGGAACTACAGCAAACCAGAGCAGAACTGAAGGCATCGCAGAAATGGGCAGCTCAGCACTTGCTGCCAGCAGGTAAGTCCACGTGCGTGATGCTTTATGGAGAGCTCTCTTTGGTGGGCCTGTCCCAACAGCCATCCTACAAACACTCCTCCTCAGCATCTTCCTCTGCACACAACTCCAGAGCAATCTTACAAACAGCACAGCAGCTTTGCGCAGCCTGTACATGCAGGGAGGAAACCCTTAACTGTTCTCAAAAAAAGAGGCACTGAGCTTTTCAAACGTGGGATCAATGAAAGGTTTAATCAAAGTCCTTGCACAGGGCAAAGCCAGCTAGGATCCCACCTTCTGCAGGCTCCCCCAGATCAAAACAGTTGCCAGAGAGCAATGAACATCTTTTAAAAGTGCAAATTATGTTCTCTCACCTTTTACCTTCCCAGCTGGTAACTCCTACACATACGCACTAGCCACTGAGCTCTCCTGTTCTCTTCATGCATATACCCATCCTTTCCCCTTCCTAAACTAAATGTTGTCTCCTCACCAGCTCCAACCGCCCAAGAGCAGAGCTCGAGCCGAGGACACGCTGCTGGTCTCAACCAGCTAAGCACGCTTCCCGCAGCAGGGAGGGCAGGTTCACTGCATGCAGCTGTCAGGACAGAATATTTCCTCAAGCACAGAAATATCAGTAACGCTGTGGTATTGTTTGGGTGAGGGTTTTTTTTCCCCTTCCAAAATGTTTGCATTGGTCAGCAAGCATTGCAGTGGCCATAGAAGACAAGCTCATATCTCAAAATTTGCATCAGTTTTTCCTGTGCGCTGTAATGTGACCTCCAAAAAGTAGGTAGAGCAACGTGGGTATGGCAGAGCAACCCCCCACCTATTTAAAGTGTGGGTGCAAAACTGCTACATGCACAATATAACTACATTGAATATAACTCTGCCTACCAGATAGCTATCACTGCGTGTCTTCTAAAGGTTGACATGTCTTTAACAACCACACTTTCCACAAACGTAAGTTACTACAGCTTAAAAACCCCACAGCAATCCACACTGGCAGAACCCTGCAAGTGCGTGTGAATAGCAATTAGGGGTGCAGTTCCACCAGCCTTGCCAGCGACCCTTGGCAGCACCACCAGCATGAGCTTACACAGGTGAGCAAGGAGGAGCGCTTCTTGCAGCTGCTGAAGCAACAACTTCCACAAGCCTGTTACAACACAAACACAACAGGAGTTTACATCAAAGCGTTTTACAATCTAGCATGAATCTATCCTTTCATGTAGGGCATGGATTCAGCTTTATAAGTAAATTACTTTTACTCCTTTGTTTATCATAACATTTCAGTAATTTTTGTGTACTAGGAACAGATCTTACAGCATATTCCTTTTTTCTCTAACACATGACTCTTGTCTTCCAGAAAGCATGATCTCATTCTTTATCTCCCTCCTGTAACACAGCCAGCCTCGCAGTGAGTTACTCTGCACTAGGTGAGAGTAAAAAAAATTGATCAGCATCAAGGATCTCAGTCTTATCAGTGGAAATTCAGATTATTTCCACTGGTCCCTACACAGTTTTATATAAAATGTTCTTATTTTTTAGTTTAAAGGACACACTTTAAGTACTTCCAGAGTCTCTCTCTGGAAATTTTTTTCCAAGGGAATTTTTAGCAACTGACTTTAATTTCTCACATCTTGAATTACTGCCAGCCACACTCTTGAGGGTTTTTCTAATCACACTTTTTGTTCTTCAGTGAGGCTGGTTTTAATTTTGTTTAGGCCTTGATAATAAAGCCTGAAAGCTTGCTAATTAAAGGCTTTTTCACAATAGCTTTCCTAAGTAGCATTTGAAGGACTACCCCCAACAGTTGCTCCCTGACTCTGCCCCTCCTCAAAAGGGCCGGTGAAGAAATGTAAAATCTGCTCAGAGCTGGAAGGAAGCAGTCTATGAAATAACACAGCAGCGCAGTCCTGGAGGACACAAAGAGTCCTTCATTCACTGAAGTAGAATTTTCCACACATGTTTTAGACATGTTAGACTCTCTAGCTTGTTTAAACAGGAAATGAACCAGCTTAATTGTAGAAGGGGGCTGCTTTTCCCCCATGCCATCTAGAATATTAAGTTCTATACAACTCAGCAATAGTACATAGAATACCAAATATAGCTTGTGTTTAGTCATCATGAGTTACTTCTCCAAGTTTCGTAAATTTCTGTTCGTGGTTTTTAACTAATCTGATGCCTATTATCAACATAGTGATTAGCTGGAGATGAGCTGTTTTGAAAATATCAGTTGCCTTATACATTTCCCACACTTAACGAGTGCCCATGAAAGTTAGTGCCCAACAGCCCTAAGTGCCGGGTCAGAAAAGGGAGTCACAATAATCAACACACACATCTCAGCATGCTCCTGCCAACGCTCCCTGCGCCTGCTTTCCTGCAGCCCCTGTCCCCTCCTCCTCGGCTGCGCAGTCATCCAGCGGACAGCCGCAGGCCACTGTGTAACCACTCGTGACACAGCTACCTCCTTTAATTACCTAAAGTGCTAATTTCTCTAGGTGCCCCAGCAAAAGAGCAGCTCTCCTAGGAGGCGCATCAGAGCAGAGATCCTCAGGGAAGCCCAGCTTCCCAGGGCAAGCGCCAGGGCAGACAGGCAGCATCAAAGCTCAGCGACACTTTGCATGGCACAGGGCTACACAACACACTACTTCTGCAGTGAGGGAAGAGCCAGGCCTTACTCCCGCAGCCCGGTTAGCCCCTAGACCCATTGCCGTCGTGTTTGGCAAATCCATCCATGAGATCTGACAGCTTCTTCCAAACCTCCAGCCCAGTGGATGAGCTGAGCTCTCAGCTCCCTTTGAGAAGCCCGCGAGTGAGCATAATACAAGGGTCCTAACTGTGCATGTACAAACAGACCAGTTTTTATTCACCTAACAATCTTTCTAACTTTTTCAGGGTGTGAAACAGCAATTCTGTTCCCCATGCGTTCGAAAAAGATATTTGGAAGCGTTCACCCAACTGCTGGAATGACCCTTCACTCCTTTACTGCTTGTATCTGGATCAAGGTGACTGAGGCTTTGGACAAAACTATTGTCTTCTCTTACGGAACCAAGCTAAACCCGTATGAAATCCAGCTTTATCTCAGCCGGGAGGCTGCAGTGCTTGTTGTTGGTGGTGACCAGCACAAGTTAGCTGTCAAAAATGTAGTTGTTCCTGGGAAGTGGATCCATCTCTGCGGTGCCTGGAGCTCAGAGAACGGATCCGCATCTCTGTGGGTGAAGGGAGAGCTCGCAGCCATGGCCTCGGACATTGCTGACGCTCACGCCATTCCAGATGGAGGGATTTTGCAGATCGGTCAAGAAAAGAACGGCTGCTGCATTGGAGGTGGATTTGATGAAGCTTTAGCCTTCTCTGGAAAATTAACTGGCTTTAACATGTGGGACAGAGTGCTCAGTGCCAAAGAGATAGCAGCACAGAGCGGAGAAGATGCATGCAGTATCAGGGGCAACATCGTCGGGTGGGGAGTCACAGAAGTTTTGCCATACGGAGGAGCCCAGTACGTTTCTTGAGTTCTGACAAGGCAGTTCCTAAAGCAGAGAACGTATTTCGTGAAGAGCAGAATGCCAACACATACAAGGAAACAGAGCCACAGGAGCCTGCGTCTCGCAGAATGCCAACACATACAAGGAAACAGAGCCACAGAAGCCTGCGTCTTGCAGATTCCCAAGGAAGATTAGCAGTGCAGGTTTACAAAACAAGGTACTGTGGAGATGGGATTTGATCTCTGCCTGCTGTTTTGGCAGAACACTGAAAAAACCCAAGCATATCAAGGTGTGACATTGGCAAACCTGTTCCCACGGCGAGACAACCGCTGGCTCTCTAGCATAGTGTTTTCTGATTTATAGAAGTGCCACTGCGGACGTTTCGGACCCGAACAGTGCTCCTGGCATCCCTGCTGCAGCAAACACATCGGGTATCCAGCTGACCAGTCTCTGCATAACAGACATAGGGCTGCGCATCTTCCTGGCTCCTCCAGTCATTGGCTTTTATAGTGCTGATGTGAATTGTACAGAGGAACCACATAAACCAAGAAACGTGGTGTTTATTAATCGTTGTTACTAATTTGTAGAGTATGACAAAACTAGCTCCTTGTTTAAAGCATTATTTATGCCACAGATTGACCTAACATATAAAAGTAATATCCGCCACCATATTCTGATGTTACATTTTGAGAAAATGCAGCTGTATTATATTGTAAATTGACTTTGCAATAATTTTATTGAAATTATTTTTGTAAAGTTGTTCTGTAAATAAAGATATTTTACTAAGCTAAAACTTTCCACGCCTCCCATGAACTGGAACTCTGAAAGTAAGTACCAGTTGGGAATTTTTCCATGTTTTGAACTATGCAGGTTTAGCTGCTAATAGAAAAAGAACATAAATATCAACATCTCATACGGAGACCCTCAGAGGACCAAAATCCAAGCATTAGCCAGAGACGGCTGTGAAGGCCTGTCATGATAACAGTCCCTCTTGTGAACGCTGCCACGCGCAAGGACCTGCCACTCTCCCATGTGGATGTGGTCGCTTGTGCAGAAGAGATGCTCTGACATATTGTCACACGTGCCGTGAGCTGAGGCTGTGCTAGCGTGGTGCTTGGATGCTGAAGGAAAGATTGGTTTTGAGATATCCCCAAAGAGAAATCAATCAGTACCCCATGCATAATACTGGCCTTCTGAAAAGGACATACTCTGTTTTAAGATACTTTTAGATAGCCAAAGTAACCAGCCTGTCTGATTCTAACAGGATGTTCGTACGAGGCAGAATTGACGGCAGCAGCTTTCTTCTCTCAAGTTTGCACCCTTATCCAAAATCCACTGAAAATATAGGGCTGGATACAGTGCATAAGAAGCAGACGTAGAGAGCCAAGACACTGGTGGTGATTTGTGGGTAGAACAACGAGCCAAAGTAGACAATGATGAATCGTTATTGGCTGGATATGTAACCATTTATGACAAGAACAATTCTTCACTACCTGCTGAAGCTTTTGAACAAGTTATCGTGGAGAACGTCTTATTCAAAGCAATCCTCATTTCCACTGGAAGCAGCACACCCTTCTGCTCTATTCACTTGTTTCTTTGTCTTTCTCATTCTCTACAGATGTCCTAAGAGCGCACTTTGAAAAGTGTCTTGACATGTTGCTGCTATGCTTATTCCTGAATACGATGCAGCTACCAGATCTTTCCTTCCACGATGCAAAAATAGTAAGAAAAATCTATGACAAGGTAATTTCCACTTCTTTACTGTGCCATTCAAGGGGGTTGTGCTTCATACCTAAACTTATATGATCTGCTCCAAAGTTTTGGCAACAGTGTTTAAGGTAAAAAGAAGTGCCCTGATTGCTGGAATTTCTCCTATTACCCTGCAATTAAAATCTATCTAAATTATAAATACTTTGTGGTAAGTACAACAAAAATCCCTTGCTAAATAACATCTGCAAATAACCTTAACAACAGAACAATGAAAGATTACCTCTGTCTGACTGTTGCCAGCCAGAAAACAGATCTTCAGAGTTAAGAAAAACACTTGAGGTCCCAATATTGTGCAAGGGCAAATTCACTCTCAAATCCCTTTCTATACAGTGCCTTCCATTAAATGAAAACAAGTGTCAGTGAAATGCAGCAGCAGAAGAAAAATCCTCAAAAAGATTACCAGAAGTCCTCCCTGGCTGCTTTTCTTACTGTACCTCATACCTGAAATGTTTTGTCTTGGAAGTAGCCTTTTCGTATCTCTGTTCAGTTTTGGCAGCTGCCCAAATGCAAAGTCAGTCCTTTCATTCTCAATGATTCAGCTGGAAAACTCTCTTCTCCCCAGCTGCTTTGCTCTTCCTTTATCACCTCTGTGGACTAGCAAAGCTTTCCCACAGTCTAGTCCCCTCCTGCCCAGCACAAGTCACTTCCATCAGCACACTTCTCTCTCCTTCCTAGCTTAACTGTATTTTTCCTTGACTGTTTGGAAAACACCAAGTAAACAGTATTTTGGGGGAGTTTGGGCTCCAAATATGGAAAAGTGACTGTGACCTTGCTCTCGCGCTGCAAACAGAGACGAAGGAGAGAGCACAAGACATGCGTGCCTGGAGTATGTTGCTAAGCTCAGTTCTGCTCTCTAACAAGTCTCTGCCGCATGCAACATCCACATCCCTTGCCTGAGCTCCTCTGGAAGGTGGAGCAGCCGTGGGACTCTGGTTACCGTTATGACTGCAGGGTAGTTTTGCTGTTGTCCCCTGGAAATGGGAATAAATCTGCCTGATCCCTTATGCTGATGAAACGGACGTGAGCACGGTACAGACATTTGCATGCTCAGACGCTGAGTTCACACTAACTGGTACAGAGTTGTTATACATTCTAAAGAGCTCTTCTTTAGCTAATAAGATAAGAAACTGATTATGCAGCCAAACAGTTGCCCCAAGTAATCAAAAAATCCAGTTAGCTCTCAAACGCTAGCCGGCGACAGGCCAAAGTCTGCTATCAGTCCCACTGGTGCCATTAGGCTGAGCCCCGTCTGCGCAGCACCAGAACAAGGCCCTTTGTCTCTGCACTGCTCTGTAAATCCATCCTTAGCAGCTTTTCCTCTTGCTTCCCTGCTCCCTTAAACAAACACTCGGTCTTTAGGCACGGTTCTTAGCCTGCTGCAAACCAACCTTTTCATGCCCGAAATACAAATCATGTACAGTGCAATTAAGCTGGTATGCAAACCAGAGCATTCTGCCTATTCAGAGGCCCTCTTCCAGTGTGGAATTTCCAAATCTGATGTCCACAGCAACATCTGCTGGCAGAGTAACATAAATACACAAAACCAAGCAGGAACAGTCACAATGAAACCTTCAGTTGTGGGTGTTAATCACTATTCCTAAAGCTATGACTATACCATAAAACCTGTTTCACTTTATTTCTCTCTTTTATTTTCTTTCTTTCTATAGCACTGCATTACAAGGGGTAATGCACAATGTTAACACATAAATACTAATGTCACAAGCCTTAAAAGAATTATCCTTGTGGCTTTGTAAGTTGTTAGCAATATTCTGTTCTTGGACTTTACTCATTTAGTATAATCACATATCATACATATTTATCATTATCATATTTATCACACATTTGTCCTTAAACACTGCAGACCGAAATATGCAAAAACTCTTACCATAATGTCTTAACGACAAAATTACTTTCTAGCTTAGCTATCCCTCCATAAAACATCTAAAAATAACTACATTCCATTTATATTTTTATAAGTATAGAAGGCACACGTTTAATTTGAGGGCTTAACATCTTCATAACACTTTTCTTGGAATAATTAGACAGCCATTGCTATTACCCATACTTGAAGAAAAGCAAGCAGTGATTTTACTACTGCAGTAGCACTGTATTGCAACAAATGCTGTGAACTTTATTACTTCAACTAAATTAGACCTCCTTTTGCAGAGCTATGAATATTTTTGGCTTTTTAAACCACAAAAGTAAAATACACAGAGTTTAGTAACAATATCCTATGTAAAGCTAATAACGTAGGCAAAATTAAAGAACCACTACAAAACTTTTATATCTTACATCTGACTATTTTGCCACAGAATGGGATTCGTCTCATCCCCATTTATATTTTGGAGCATTGCCAATGACACTAACAGAAAGGATCAGAGCCCAGTCACTAGTGGCTCACAGAATCACAGAATGGTAGGGGTTGAAAGGGACCTCTGTGGGTGATCTAGTCCAACCCCCCTGCTGAAGCAGGGTCACCTACAGTAGGCTGTAGAGGACCTTGTCCAGGTAGGTCTTGAATATCTCCAGAGAAGGAGACTCCACAGCCTCCCTGGGCAGCCTGTTCCAGGGCTCTGCCACCCTCAGAGGGAAGAAGTTCTTCCTCATGTTCAGACGGAACTTCCTGTGCTTCAGTTTATGCCCATTGCCCCTTGTCCTGTCACTGGGCATCACTGAAAAGAGCTTGGCTTCATCCTCCTGACACCTACCCTTCAGATATTTCTAAGTATATATTAGGTCTCCTCGCAGCCTTCTCTTCTTCAGGCTGAAGAAGTCCAGCTCCTTCAGCCTCGCCTCGTAGGAGAGATGCTCCGGTCCCCTCACCATCCTGGTAGCCCTCCGCTCTTCATCTTTCTTGAACTGGGGAGCCCAGAGTACTCCAGGTGAGGTCTCACTAGGGCAGTGTAGAGGGGGAGGAGAACCTCCCTCGACCTGCTGGCCACACTCTGCTTAATGCACCCCAGAATGCCATTGGCCTTCTTGGCAGCCAGGGCACACTGCTGGCTCATGGTTAACCTGTCGTCCACCAGGACGCCCAGGTCCCTCTCCGCAGAGCTGCTCTCCAGCAGGTCCACCCCAAGCCTGTACTGATGCATGGGGTTGTTCCTCCCCATGTGCAGCACCCTGCATTTGCCTTTGTCGAACCTCATCAGGTTCCTCTCTGCCCAGCTCTCCAGCCTGTCCAGGTCACACTGAATGGCAGCACAGCCTTCTGGTGTATCTACCACACCTCCCAGTTTGGTGTCATCAGCAAACTT